AATGGAAAAGTTGTTTATTTCATATTATACTATTTTTGATTATTTGTTAATCAATTAGGGAAAACGTAACATTTTAAGAAGAATTGATTTTAGTGATAATCCAATCAGGCAAATATAAATTTATTTAGTGTGCATGTTTGCTGTGGTGGGGTTATTGCAACATATTTTATACTGTATTTTATAATTATGGAAATCGTAGATATATCGTAGGCCTTTGTTATTTAACCTCTCAAACACCAAGAGATATGCTCGGTCCCCTGCTGGTACTTTGGGCTAACAGATGGATCTCTTTCCACAAACTGTCAATGAAACGTTTACGTTTTTAAGTGCCTATAAGTTATTGTTCGTTGGTATATTTTTATGAATCATACTAAATGTAGTTTTACTCTACTGTAATGTATTTACGTTTTTAGTAAATATGCAATCCGGAATTATACACCCCAAAACGTTTTTTATGAGCAAGTTTCATCGTAAATTAAATTTCAGGAACCTAGCTTGTCATACCCTATGTATATATTTTTAAGATTAGATTGCTGGGGAAATTATATAAATCAGTTCAGAAGATTCAAGACGACTAAAGTTGGAGCCCAAGTAATTGTCCAAAAAACACATAGATAAACGTCCATGAAGTTTTTACTGTAGTTTTACATTAATGAACCACAGTACAGTAGGTATACAACCTATTTTTGGTCCGAAAAAGCGTACATGTTTGTCGGGGAGATGGTGTAAGAATTATTTAGGATAAGTCAATCACTCTTAATTTACCCAGATTGGAAGGTGGGGAAGATCTCTTACCGTTTTTAATTTATAATCGTTTAAAAAAATGTGTTTTGTCGTTTTTAATTGTCCGCAATTTTTTTATTGTTGGGGGAGTAGAAATTTGAAAATGTCACTTTTGAAAATTTTCTTGATTATTCAAAATAACGTTCAACATCTTCTTCAACCCAGCCCCCTAGGGTGGTAAGGGGGATTGTTGGAAATATCCTCGGAGAAAATATGCTCCTGAGTAAAATAATACAATAATAAGAAGTTTGTAAAATACTAAACACTACAGTCTTATGTGATTTTCAGATGTCCCCCATCTTGAATTTCGGGTTTGGGGGGTTAGGACGTGAAAATGGGGCTTATGAAAATTGTAAGGGTTATTTTTTGGTAACGTTGTACTCTATTGTAAAATTTTAATTCTTTAGCACGATTCAGAACTTGTTATATCCGCATACCAAAGTCGGCCACTTTCAAGGTTATTCCCTAGAAGAATAACAAATGGGGGGGATTCCATATTTCAGAGGGGAAGTTTAATATTATAAAATGTCACTTTTCGAAAAAGGTGCAAGACCTACAATCGTGCCGAATCTCAGATCCCCAGCTAATCTAAAAGTGGGGCTATATTATAAAATGTCACTTTTCGAAAAAGGTGCAAGACCTACTATCGTGCCAAATCTCAGATCCCCAGCTAATCTAAAAGTGGGGCTATGCACCTGTAAGAATAACATGGGAGGGGGTAATTCAACATTTGGGGGGGGGGGGGTTACTATTTTCAAACGTCACTCTTTGGAAATGAACAATATTTGCAAAAAAAAATTGCTGAGGTATAAAAAATTAGCGAAAACCATAAGAAATTTGAACGAAATTTACTGTTTTTGAAAGAAAGGGTGTTTTTTAAGAGTGAAGGGTTGTTCGGAAAACGCCTAACAGTGTTTTGTAGAAAATGTAATTCCTGACCTTGAATAATATTTGCTAAAAGTTATTATTTAAGTATGAAAAAATAGCGAAAACCGATAAAAATTTGAAAGAATTTAGCAAATCTTTAAAGTAGGGCGTTTTTTTAAGCCCAAGGAGTGCGATTTCCGGAAAAGGGTTTTGTAGAAAATTTAATTTCCTTTCGCTAAGATCCTTTCAAATATTTTCTAGCTCTTACCGTTTTCGAGCTACATCCGGTTGAAAAAAAAGTGTTTTTTCGTTTTCAGAGGTCCGCCATTTTGGATTTTTGGGGGGGTTAAAATTTGAAAATGGGAATTTTGGGAATTTCACCGGTAATGTAAGATCCGATACTACAATACTACCAAGTTTCAAGTCTCTAGCACGTTTCTATGTGGTTTAGATGAGCATACTAAGGTCGGCATTTTTCAATGTTATTCTCCATAAGAATAACATGGGGCTTGTAAAAGTTGTAAAAAACCTTTAAATTTTGACATTAAACCTAAGTTTTGGGGGTTAAGGAGTAAAGATACAAAAAAACATTAAAAGAGTAAAATATAAAGTAAAGTAAGAAAAATACAGAGCATTAATAATATCTGCAAAAAGAAATTATTTAAATATGAAAAAATAGCGAAAACCGTAAAAAATGTGAATGAAATTTACAAAATTTTGAAAGTAGGCCGTTTTTTGAAGCTGAAGGAGTCTGATTTTTAGAAAACAGTAGGGGTACCGTGGATCTAGGCCAAGTAGGCTACCCCCAGATCGAGGCCAAAACCACCCCTAGTGTTGTAGTTTAATCTTCAGAGGTAGTGAATACATATATGTTGAATGTTAGGGGTTGTTAGGGGTAGTTTTGTGGTATTTTTAATTGTTCTGGTTGGGGTTAGTGTGAGGTTCATGGGTTTGATCCTAACCCTGTAGGGGATGAGCTAGAGGTTTGCGGGTTTGATTCTAACCTGGTAGGGGATAAGTTAAAGGTTCATGGGTTTGATTCTAACCCAGTAGGGGTTAGTGTGAGGTTCATGGGTTTGATCTTTACCTAGTAGGGGATAGCCTGAGCTAGAGGTTTATGGTTTTGATTTTTTGTAAAAAAAAACATTTTATTTTATTTTATTCTATATATATATGCTGTAGTGTATAATAAATGTTAAACAAATGATAATTCATGTATCCAATGTTAAAAACAGCTGAAAGAAGGGTTAAGTAGAACTTTACTGTTGAGTATAAAAAACGGCCTTTGTAAAGGCCACCAAATGTTGAATGTTAAATTTATATTTTATAGATGCCATGTGTTTTTGGGATGATGGGTAATCTGAATAATGCTTCTTTTTGTGGTTGGTTGTGTGTGGAGCTGTGTATGAGTTAGAGGTTCATGGGTTCAATCCTTTCTAATCACTAAACATTTTATTATTGGTTGGGGTGATATGTTGATTTTTGGTATGGTGTTGTATTGTAGTGGGAGTAGTGTAAGCTCTTGATCTTAGAGGTTTGTGGGTTTAATCCTTATCAATCACCAAATGTTTTATTTTTGGTTGGGGTGATATGTTGAGTTTTGGTATGGTATTGTATTGTAGTGGGAGTAGTGTGAGTCCTTGATCTCAGAGGTTTGTGGGTTCAATCCCGACCAATCACCAAATGTTTTACTTCTGGTTAGGGTGATATTTTGAGCTTTAGTATTGAAGTAGGAGTAGTTAACTTGTCTAGAATGTGGATCTATAATCCTATGGGATTGAGGGTATGATCTTTACCAACCACTGTCTGTATCATATACGGTTGGAGTGATTTTAGTGTTGTATTGTAGTTAACTGTCTGTGTATGCCTTTAGAGGTTTATGGGTTTGATCTTAACCAATCTATAAATGTTTTATTTTTAATTGGGGTGATATGTTGATTTTTGGTATGGTGTTGTATTGTAGTGGGAGTAGTGTGAGTCCTTGATCTTGGAGGTTTGAGGGTTTGATTCTTATAAATCACTAAATGTGTTATTTTTGGTTGGTATGATATGTTGATTTTTGATATGGTATTGTATTGTAGTGGGAGTAGTGTGAGTCCTCGATCTGGTTTGTGGGTTTGATCCTTATCAATCACTAAATGTTTAATTTTTGGTTGGGGTGTTTTTTTTTGTTTTTATGGTATTGTATTATAGTTAACTGTTTGTATATGAATCTATGATTCCAAAGGTTTATGGGTTTGATCCTAACCAATCAGTAAATGTTTTATTTCTGATTGGGGTGTTATGTTGATTTTTGGTATGGTGTTGTATTGTAGTGGGAGTAGTGTGAGTCCTTGATCTCAGAGGTTTGAGGGTTTGATTCTTATTAGCTACTGCTTGTATTATATTTGATTGGGGTAATTTTTAATGTTGTATTGTAGTTAACTGTTTGTGTATGCCTCCAGAGGTTGTTGGTTTAATTCATATCATTCATCAATTGTTTTATTTTCTCTTACTATGGGTTTAGTATGTAATAGGGAATTAACTGTTTGAACCTAGGGTTATGGGTTCAACTCTTATCAACCACTGATTATTTCATTTTTGGTTATTATGATTTTGTATGGTGTTGTGTTCTAGTCAACTGTTTGTGTATGAGTCTAGGGTTGTGGGTTTGAATCTTATCAGTGAGAGTAATATTTTTTATGGTTGTGTAATATGTTTCTGCCAAATTAATTAGCTGTGATTTTCCCTTCTAAGATTGTATCTTTAACATAACCTTACTTGTATATGTATTCTGTATGCTTTTTTGCCAATGGTTCCTGCTAATGAATTAACCTTACTTGTGTTTGTAGGAGCTATTATTGGCTTTTCTGCCAACTTTTCCCTCCAAATAATATAACCTAACTTTATGTATTGCATATGTATCTGTAACATAACCTTATTTGTGTATGTAGGAACTGTCATCTGGTTTTCTGCTATTTGCTTTTCTGTTAACTGTTTCTGCCAAGTAACATAGCCTCACTTTATGTACTGAATATGTAGGTTTATTAAATAAATATTTTAGATATTCTGCTGAAAAAATAAGGAAAACAACTGTGAAAGCTAAAATGGTTTATTTATAATATCTATATCCTGTGGGGTGGTATTGCATCATCTGAAACAAAAATTATAATTAGTACACCACATCTGGTGTAGTAAATAGGTTATAACTTGAAAAAATTCCTGCATGCTGATTGGCTATAATAAGCTCTCTTCTGATTGGCCATAAGTAGGTGATCTGTGTAGTCATTGGTTACCCCCACCCCTCCCCTATTGTATATATATTGCTCTGTGTCACTATTGCATCACTTTGTTCTTAGTGATTGGCGAAGATGGATGTAAGTAATGTAGCTGCTCAAGTAGTTGATCCTGTAAACGTTGTAGAAGATTCTGTTGAAGTAGCTGTCCCTGTAAATATCTTAGATAAACATGAGAATTATGTAAAGAAATTTAGAATTCATGGAATTAATACTGTTTTTAAGTTTTCTAATCCTCCTGCTGAAACTAGTGAGATTGATTGGCTAAGATAAGGGTTTGGTCAAATTGTAAATGAGATGAAAGAAGTTTGTGAGGAGGGTGATCAATTGGGCTTTACTTTGCGATCTCTTAACCTAAAAAGTAAAGAGGGGTTTGTTGCTTTTCGCCCTGCAAATGAAGTTAATGAGGATGTTTTGTGGCAAATCTTTGGGGGAATTTTACAATCAAATTCTGAATCAATCAAGTCCACAGATACATTTCAAGTTGAATGTACCCGAGTTAATCTTCCTGTAGGTTTGGGTGGCCGTAAAAGATCAGGCTTGTATAACACCTTTGATGACGAATGTAAAGCTAGGACGGGGATTGTTGTAATTAATAATAAAGATAATTTGTGTCTTCCCCGTGCTATTGTAGTGGCTATAGCCAATGTAACTAAAGATCCTGAATATAGTGCAGTTAGAAAAGATAGAGCAAAAAGACAGACTGTTAGGGCTCAAGAACTTGTATGTAGAGCTAGAGTTGAGATGCCTGAGGGTGGTGCAGGTATTTATGAACTTGAAAAATTCCAGGACTTGCTTAAAGACTATAAAATCACTGTGTACAACTACAATGCTAAAGGTAGGGATGTGTACTTTGAGGGAAATGTAGAGAACCCCAAGTTTAAAATTAACTTGTTGTTTCATAACCGACACTATAATGTAATTACTAGCCTGACAGCTGCTTTTGCTTGTGTGTACTTTTGTGAAGCTTGTCATATTCCATATGATCACAAAGGTGAGCACCGTTGCTCAAACATTTGCTCACAATGTCAGACTATCTCACCCCCTTGTGTAGAGGAGTATGGGGGAATAACTTGTCTAAAATATAACATGACTTACAAAAACCAAAGCTGTTTTATTGCACATCTAGCTGATAGATGTAAAAATGTAAAGAAATGTCTAGATTGTGGGAAACTAGTTTGGCTTAGAGAGAGGTCCAAGCCTCACAAGTGTGGGGAGGTATTTTGTAATCCCTGTAGAGCATTTAAAGATTCAAACCATAAATGTTATATGAAACCCAACAAGGGTAAACCTAAATCTAAAGATTACGTTTTTATTTTCTTTGACTTGGAAACCCGCCAGGATGAGTTCCTGCCCTCTGACCCTGAAAGTAAAGTACATAAAGTTAACCTGTGTGTCTCTCAGCAATTTTGTTACCAGTGTATTGAGGGAAAATTCTGTATAGCGTGTAAAAACCGTACACGAGTGTTTGATTCCAGCCCTATTAACCAATTTATGAACTATGTAATGTATGTGAGAAAGCAGTTTAAACATGTCTGTGTAATTGCACATAATGGGCAGGGTTTTGATTTTCAATTCTTGCTAAAGTACCTGTTGGAAGAAACAAAATTCACACCAGAACTTGTAATGAGGGGAACCAAAATTATCTTGATGAAAATTGACAATGTGAGGTTTGTGGACTCACTAAGCTACTTCCCCATGGCTCTGTCTGCTCTGCCTAAAGCCTTTGATCTACCTCCAGAGAAAAAGAAAGGCTTCTTTCTCCATCTCTTCAACACATTGGCAAACCAAAACTATGTGGGTCCTATGCCAGCTAAAGAGTACTATTGTCCTGAATCTATGTTTGAGAAATCCCATATTGACTTTGATAAATGGTACAGTGAGCAGGTTGCAAACAAGTATGAATTTAATTTTAAAAAGGAGTTGCAGGAATACTGTATGTCAGATGTTGATATCTTGGCTCAAGCCTGTCTAAAGTTCCGCTCAATCTTTCTAAAAGAGTGTAATGTTGACCCGTTTCTTGAGACTGTTACCATTGCAAGTGCCTGCAATCTAGCCTTCAGACGAAACTTCTTAAAACCCAACACTATTGGCATCATCCCTAAGAACGGCTATCGATTAGTAGATAATCAATCAGCAATTGCACTCCAATGGCTTTCTTGGGTCGAGGAAACCAACGGGGTTAGAATTGATCATGCCGGACGAGGCAAAGAAGTCAAAGTTAATGGGATGAAGGTAGATGGGTTTGATGGTAGAAACATCTATGAGTTCCACGGGTGTTACTGGCATGGATGCCCTAAATGTTTTAATTATAACCGACACACCCCGTTGAAGGAGGATCCCTCTGATTTATTTCATCTCCGTTATGAGAGAACCATGGCTAAAAATGCCAAGTTTACAGAACATGTGTTGGTAGAGATGTGGGAATGTGAATTCCGTAAGCTTAAAAAGGATCAAAAACTTAATCATCTAGACAGTCTGCCTATCTTGAACAATCTCCCACTAGACCCACGACAGTCTTTTTTTGGAGGTAGGACAGGCAATGTGAAATCCTATCATAAATGTGTTGAGGGGGAAACTATTCAATATGTTGATGTTTGCTCTCTCTATCCGTATGTTTGTAAGTATGGGAAGTATCCTGTAGGCCACCCAACTATTTATGTAGGGGATAGGGAGTGTCGTGAGAGAGGTATGGAAGTAGAGGGTTTGTTAAAATGTAAAGTTTTGCCACCTCATGATCTATATCACCCTGTACTCCCTATAAAAATGATCGATAAATTGATGTTTGTGTTGTGTAGGACTTGTGGGGAGATGATGAATCAGGGAGAGTGTAACCATGATACCGATAATAGGGCACTAGTAGGGACTTGGACTATGGATGAGATTAGGAAAGCTGTAGAGAAAGGGTATATTGTATTGGACATGTATGAGTTATGGGAGTACCAGGTAGCGACTTATGAAAATGGGGGTTTGTTCACCGACTTTATTAATAAATTTCTTAAGATGAAACAGGAAGCTTCGGGCTATCCAGAGTGGTGTAAGACTGAGGAAGACAAAAACAAGTATATTGCAGACTATTTGGGACATGAGGGAATTAAGCTGATAAAAGAAAAGATTGTTAAGAATGGGGGGTTAAGATCATTGGCAAAATTGATGTTAAACAGTTTCTGGGGAAAATTTGGACAGAGGGAGAATCAGACTAAAGCTACAATTGTTAGGGACTCCAAAACACTTTTCCAAATGCTCTCATCCTCTGAAATTAAAGTTAATAGGCTCCAAACCGTCAATGAGGAGGTTGTAGTTGTTTCTTGGGAGTATTTAGAAGAGGTAGGAGAGCCTCTAAGCAACATAAACGTTTGTATCGCGGCCTACACCACTGCACAGGCTAGACTCAAGCTCTATGAATATCTTGATGCCCTAGGAGCTCAAGTATTGTATTATGATACAGACAGTGTTTTATTCTATCACCGTCAGGGCCTGTATAGAGTCCCTACAGGAGATTACCTCGGTGAAATGACAGATGAATTAGTAGATTATGGACCCGGTTCTTATATCACTGAACTTGTCTCTGGGGGGCCTAAAACCTATGCATACCTTGTCTGGTCAACCAATCAACAGAAATTGATCCCAGTCTGTAAAATCAAGGGCCTCACCCTCAACTTTAAAACATCAAAGGTTGTAAACTTTGAAAAACTGAGAGAAATGATCCTAAGTGAAGTAAAACAGTCAATTGAAATTGAAGAAAACAGAATCAGAAGAACTAGAGATAGAGATATTGTTACCATCACTGAGAGCAAAGTGTTTAAAATCACGGGGCCTAAGAGAAGGTATGAAGGTCAGTATGACACTCTACCTTTTGGCTACAGAAAAGTCCAAAGAGACTTGTAAATAACTTTGTAACTTTTCATTGTAAATAACCTTGTAAATTTCTTTGTATATAACTCTCCTAATAAAAAAAAACAAGTCTATAGATAAATAGAACACTGGTTTCCTATGATAGGCACAGACCAAAAACCTAGTGAATTGAGGAGCTCAGATTGGAAAGAACCTGTGCTACTCCTTGGAACGGTTTGGTGTATGTGTACTGTCACCTGCTTAAAGGCTGGGCTAAGCCGATGTAAGTCCTGGAGTGGATGATGGGTTGGCCTAAAAACCATAAAACGCTGGTTTCCTATGATAGGCACAGACTATAAATGTTAACCTTGAACTAACTTTGGCTGGATTACATAACTAAATCTATAGACTTGACAAAAAAAAAGCTTTGTTCAAGTAAGGGAGAGGGTGTTTATAGCGACTACCAGGTAATCTGGACTGGCTATAAACGCTTAACCTGGCCTCACTTAATGAGGGGATAGTCTCAAACCCTATCCAATACAAAGCTACATCATATGTAACAGGTGTTAAGACACATAATTTCCATTATGGAAGGCATAGCGGAAGAACTATACCAAATGTTAATGTAACTCTTAGAGGATCAAACGACCTGTATAAAGATGATATAGAAGAGATGAAACCTAGTGGAAAGCTTGTAAACTACAACAAAAAGTATAATGGACAACTGAAATCGTTATTACAGATGGTTAAACCCAACAACTTTGCATCTTGATAGGGTGGTTCATTCAAAAACGTATGAGGAGAGAAGGTTAAACTCCTACTTAAATAAATCCCCATAAGAGCCTCTAGTTATGGAGGATGATTATAGCACTAATCTGTAAATAATACAATTTTACCATATTGGTTTTACACTTGAGGTGTTAAAGACTCAAAAACAAGAAACTAGTGTTGTATTGAGTGAGAAATCAAATTATAGCCCATATTTAATACTTAATAAACATTCCAAGGTGCAAAGGTAACGTTATCACTGCTACCCGCAGTGTTATCCTGTAATAGTAAATAGTACATTTATTCGTGACAACACCCTACCTGTGATTTATGAGTGTAACGTGTCTGTGTGTGTGTATAAAGCCCTCTGATTGGCCCTCAAATGACTGACTTCTGTTGAAAAACAAATATTCTTGACAATGGTACATATTGATGTAACAGACTTTGAAACCTTGGTTGTAGTAAATAACAGCTAATTCGGACCGGGGAAAGGCAAATTAACCCATTATCATAGGCAAGCCACAACAGCGATACAAATATTAACAACCACTAAAAGGCAAGTATATTTTAATTCTGAGAAAATATTAAATAAAACCTGTTGTTAGACTACAAGTTTACGATAGCTAGACTGAGAAAGGTGTGGGAGTATGTAAAAATTTTATAGGAAACTCTAGGAAATGTTTATACATGTTTTGGTAGCAATTGTTCCTCCAAGACACAAATACACCATCAAGACATGAACATCAAGAGCCCCCTATGATAGCTAAACCTTGTAGATATCCTAAAAATTCTGTAATCACAGGCTATGGAACCTTATATGTGGATAATAATATATGAGTTAGTATTGGTAAAAATATGCTTGTTTTGGCCAAGAACCCCTTATGAACCTGAAAAATTAAATACCCAAGTCTATTTATTTATGTACCTTTTCTAATCTACGGCTGGTAATGTAATCCATGTTTATTGATTAATAGAGGGGTTTCTATTACTTTCGTCCTATTTATCATCGGTGTTTTGAAGACTATTGTAAACACATTATCTTATTGCATTTGTACCCGAATGTTCCATATGACTCTCAGCTATAAATGTAATGCGACACCTATTGTCTATACCTCTTTTAAGTTGTCACTGTTTTGAAAAATATTTAATGTTAAGCAATAGTTTTAATGGAGATGTCTCTTAGATTGACATAACATAGATACACTTGAAGTTCTAAGTAATGCCCCTTTTACTGTTTTCGAGGTTCTACCGTACTCTGAATAAATAAAAAAACCTCTTTTAAAACACAAAACCCACCAATATTCAACGTATACTCTAATGACCGAGGAATGTACAATTCATTCAACGACGAATGCAAAACAAGACAGGGAATAGTTGTTATAAACAACACTGACAACTTATGTCTAGCTAGAGCAATAGTGGTAGGTAAAGCCTATGCAAAAAATGGATCCACAAATTCGAGGTATTTATGAAGACAAGAGCATGAGACAAATAATTAGGGCAAAGAAACTTATAGCTAAAGCATGTGTAGGAATGCCTGAAGAAGGATCAGGTATCTCTGAACTTGAAAAGTTCCAGGCACACTTAAACAAATATAGAACAACCGTGTATAATTACGATAGCAAGGGTCGGGATTTATATTTCTTTGGTGGGAATAGTGATGCAAAATTTAAAATTAACTTATTTTACCATGATAACCACTATAATGTTATTACCAACTTAGCCGCCGCTTTTGCATGTGTACTTTTGTGATGCTTGCCATGTCCCATATGATCACAAAGGAGCCCACAGATGTTCAAACATCTGTCCATCTTGTCACACCTTCTCTCCTCCTTGTGTAGAGGAAAATGGTGGCATATCTTGTCGCTATTGTAACCGCTTTTTTTAAAAAATGAACGGTGCTTTATTGCCCATCAAAGACAAATTTGTAAAACAATTAAGTTCTGCCGAGGGTGTGAAAAAAATGATATTCCCAACTAAACGTAAATCAACTCATGTGTGTGGAGAGGTATATTGTCACCCTTGTGGTACATTTAAAGATCCTAATCATAAATGCTACATTTAGATGGACAAGAAAACCCCTAAAGACCGTGACTACCTATTTATTTTCTTTGATCTGGAAACACGCCAGGATGGTTCCATACCCTCAGATCCTGAGACTAAGTTACATAAAGTAAATTTATGTGTTTCACAATGGTTCTGTTTTAAATGCATCAATAGGAGTGAATGTGAATCTTGTTCAGAACGTTATAAAATATTTGATAGCAATCCCGTTCAGCAGTTCATGAACTATGTAATGGAAACCTGCAAACATTTCAAAAAATGTCTGTGTAATTGCACACAACGGACAAGGGTTTGACTTTCAGTTTATACTTAGGTATATCCTCGAAGAGACTGAATTCACACCACACATCGTTCCAAGAGGAACTAAAATTATTTTGATGGAGGTTGCTAACGTTAGATTTATTGACTCCCTTAGCTACTTACCCTTTCTTCTTTTTAGGTGGTAAGTTAAAAGCTTTTGGTAAGGTAGATGAAGACAAAGCTAAGTAGCTAAGGGAGTCAATAAATCTAACGTTAGCAACCTCCATCAAAATAATTTTAGTTCCTCTTGGAACGATGTTTGGTGTGAATTCAGTCTCTTCGAGGATATACCTAAGTATAAACTGAAAGTCAAACCCTTGTCCGTTGTGTGCAATTACACAGACATTTTTTGAAATGTTTGCAGGTTTCCATTACATAGTTCATGAACTGCTGAACGGGATTGCTATCAAATATTTTATAACGTTCTGAACAAGATTCACATTCACTCCTATTGATGCATTTAAAACAGAACCATTGTGAAACACATAAATTTACTTTATGTAACTTAGTCTCAGGATCTGAGGGTATGGAACCATCCTGGCGTGTTTCCAGATCAAAGAAAATAAATAGGTAGTCACGGTCTTTAGGGGTTTTCTTGTCCATCTAAATGTAGCATTTATGATTAGGATCTTTAAATGTACCACAAGGGTGACAATATACCTCTCCACACACATGAGTTGATTTACGTTTAGTTGGGAATATCATTTTTTTCACACCCTCGGCAGAACTTAATTGTTTTACAAATTTGTCTTTGATGGGCAATAAAGCACCGTTCATTTTTTAAAAAAAGCGGTTACAATAGCGACAAGATATGCCACCATTTTCCTCTACACAAGGAGGAGAGAAGGTGTGACAAGATGGACAGATGTTTGAACATCTGTGGGCTCCTTTGTGATCATATGGGACATGGCAAGCATCACAAAAGTACACATGCAAAAGCGGCGGCTAAGTTGGTAATAACATTATAGTGGTTATCATGGTAAAATAAGTTAATTTTAAATTTTGCATCACTATTCCCACCAAAGAAATATAAATCCCGACCCTTGCTATCGTAATTATACACGGTTGTTCTATATTTGTTTAAGTGTGCCTGGAACTTTTCAAGTTCAGAGATACCTGATCCTTCTTCAGGCATTCCTACACATGCTTTAGCTATAAGTTTCTTTACCCTAATTATTTGTCTCATGCTCTTGTCTTCATAAATACCTCGAATTTGTGGATCCATTTTTTGCATAGGCTTTACCTACCACTATTGCTCTAGCTAGACATAAGTTGTCAGTGTTGTTTATAACAACTATTCCCTGTCTTGTTTTGCATTCGTCGTTGAATGAATTGTACATTCCTCGGTCATTAGAGTATACGTTGAATATCGATGGGTTTTGTGTTTTAAAAGAGGTTTTTTATTTATTCAGAGTACGGTAGAACCTCGAAAACAGTAAAAGGGGCATTACTTAGAACTTCAAGTGTATCTATGTTATGTCAATCTAAGAGACATCTCCATTAAAACTATTGCTTAACATTAAATATTTTTCAAAACAGTGACAACTTAAAAGAGGTATAGACAATAGGTGTCGCATTACATTCATAGCTGAGAGTCATATGGAACATTCGGGTACAAATGCAATAAGATAATGTGTTTACAATAGTCTTCAAAACACCGATGATAAATAGGACGAAAGTAATAGAAACCCCTCTATTAATCAATAAACATGGATTACATTACCAGCCGTAGCTTAGAAAAGGTACATAAATAAATAGACTTGGGTATTTAATTTTTCAGGTTCATAAGGGGTTCTTGGCCAAAACAAGCATATTTTTACCAATACTAACTCATATATTATTATCCACATATAAGGTTCCATAGCCTGTGATTACAGGATTTTTAGGATATCTACAAGGTTTAGCTATCATAGGGGGCTCTT